TATGGGTGAGTGTGTGTGTGCTGGGTGAGTGTGTGTGTGCTGGGTGAGTGTGAGTGAGTGCAGGATGTGTGTGTGTGTGCTGGGTGAGTGAGTGTGTGAGTGCAGGATGTGTGTGTGTGTGCTGGGTGAGTGAGTGCAGGATGTGTGTGTGTGTGCGGGGTGAGTGTGTGTGTGTGCTGGGTGAGTGTGTGTGTGCTGGGTGAGTGTGTGTGTGCTGGGTGAGTGTGAGTGAGTGCAGGATGTGTGCGTGTGTGCTGGGTGAGTGAGTGCAGGATGTGTGTGTGTGTGTGTGCTGGGTGAGTGTGTGAGTGAGTGCAGGATTGTGTGTGTGTGCTGGGTGAGTGTGTGAGTGAGTGCAGGATGTGTGTGTGTGTGTGTGCGGGGTGAGTGAGTGCAGGATGTGTGTGTGTGCTGGGTGAGTGTGTGTGTGTGTGAGTGCAGGATGTGTGTGTGTGTCTGCTGGGTGAGCAGGATGTGTGTGTGTGTATGTTCGGGGTGAGTGTGTGAGTGAGTGCAGGCTGTGAGTGTGTGTGCTGGGTGAGTGTGTGAGTGAGTGCAGGATTGTGTGTGTGTGTGTTCGGGGTGAGTGTGTGAGTGAGTGCAGGCTGTGTGTGTGAGTGCAGGATGTGTGTGTGTGTGTGCGGGGTGAGTGTGTGAGTGAGTGCAGGCTGTGAGTGTGTGTGAGTGCAGGATGTGAGTGTGTGTGAGTGCAGGATGTGAGTGTGTGTGCTGGGTGAGTGTGTGTGTGAGATGTGAGTGTGTGTGTGTCTGCTGGGTGAGTGTGGGTGTGTTCGGGGTGTTAGTGCAGGATGTGTGTGTGTGCGGGGTGAGTGTGTGTGTGAGTGCAGGATGTGAATGTGTGAGTGTGGGGTGAGTGAATGCAGGATGTGAGTGTGTGTGCTGGGTGAGTGTGTGAGTGAGTGCAGGATGTGTGTGTGTGTGTGCTGGGTGAGTGAGTGCAGGATGTGTGTGTGTGTGGGGTGAGTGTGTGTGTGTGCTGGGTGAGTGTGTGTGTGAGTGCAGGATGTGTGTGTGTGCTGGGTGAGTGAGTGCAGGATGTGTGTGTGTGTGTGCGGGGTGTAAGTGCGGAGTGAGTGTGTGAGTGTGTGTGTGGGGTGAGTGAGTGCAGTGTGTGAGTGTGTGGGTTGAGTGAGTGCAGTGTGTGGGTGTGTGAGTGCGGTGAGTGAATGCAGGATGTGTGTGTGTGCTGGATGTGTGTGTGTGCGGGGTGAGTGAGTGCAGGATGTGTGTGTGTGTGTGGGGTGAGTGAGTGCAGGGTGTGAATGTGAGTGTGGGGTGAGTGAATGCAGGATGTGTGTGTGTGCTGGGTGAGTGTGTGTGTGAGTGCAGGATGTGTGTGTGTGTGCGGGGTGAGTGTGTGAGTGTGTGTGTGGGGTGAGTGAGTGCAGGATGTGAATGTGAGTGTGGGGTGAGTGAATGCAGGATGTGTGTGTGTGCGGGGTGAGTGTGTGAGTGGGATGTGAGTGTGTGTGTCTGCTGGGTGAGTGTGGGTGTGTTCGGGGTGTAAGTGCAGGATGTGTGTATGTGCGGGGTGTGTGTGTGAGTGCAGGATGTGTGAGTGTGGGGTGAGTGAGTGCAGGATGTGTGTGTGTGTGTGTGCGGTGAGTGAATGCAGGATGTGTGTGTGTGTGTTCGGGGGGTGTGTGTGTGTGTGAGTGTGTGAGTGAGTGTGGGAGTGTGTGTGAGTGCAGGATGTGAGTGTGTGAGTGTTTGGGGTGTAAGTGCGGGGTGAGTGTGTGCAGAATGTGAGTGTGTGAGTGTTTGGGGTGAGTGCAGGATGTGTGTGTGTGTTCGGGGTGAGTGTGCTGGGTGAGTGTGTGAGTGAGTTCAGGATGTGAGTGTGTGAGTGTTTGGGGTGAGTGCAGGATGTGTGTGTGTGTGTGCGGGGTGAGAGTGTGTGTGCTATCACGGTAATTGAAGGTCAGTGTGTGTGTGTAGGTGTTCACGTAGTTGAGCATGTATATCGGTGGGTAGGTGAATGTGGGTGGGTGGTTGGTTGACGATGTGTAGGTGAGTATGTTTGGGGTGGCAGTGGGGTGTGGGTATGTCCGTGTAGGTGAATAGAAAGGCGACCGGGCGTGGTGTTGGCCACCCCACTCCTCATGTCACGTGCCGGCTATCATCGGTGTTCGATAACTGCACTTGCCCCTAAGGTCTGTTCAGGCTAGACGGGGGGTCTTTGTCTTGTGTGCTCAGTGTAGATTGTGAGCTGTGGTTGGGGTTGGTGGTTGTGTGGTTTGGGTGGCTGTGAGTTCAGTGTGAATTGTGGGGTGGGTGGGAGGATGAGTGACCGCGCGTGTGTTTAGTGTGTATTGAGGGGTGGGTGGATGACTATGTGGAGGGTGGATGAGTGAGTATGTGAAAGGTGGGAGGGTGAGTGTGTGTGTATGTGGTGGGTGGGTGGGAGGGTGAGTATGTGGTGGGTGGGAGGGTGAGTGGGTGGGTGGTGGGTGGGAGGGTGAGTGTGTGTGATTGTGTGGGTGGGAGGGTGAGTGTGTATGTGGTGGGTGGGTGGGTGGGAGGGTGAGTGTGTGTATGTGGTGGGTGGGAGGGTGAGTGTGTGTGTGTGGTGGGTGGGAGGGTGAGTGTGTATGTGGTGGGTGGGTGGGTGGGAGGGTGAGTGTGTATGTGGTGGGTGGGTGGGAGGGTGAGTGTGTGTATGTGTGTGTGGTGGGTGGGAGGGTGAGTGTGTGTGTGGTGGATGGGAGGGTGATTGTGTGTGTATGGTGGGTGGGAGGGTGAGTGTGTGTGTATGGTGGGTGGGAGGGTGAGTGTGTGTGTATGGTGGGTGGGAGAGTGAGTGTGCGTATGTGGTGGGTGGTGGGTGGGAGGGTGAGTGTGTGTGTGTGTATGTGGTGGGTGGGAGGGTGAGTGTGTGTGTGTGTGGTGGGTGGGAGGGTGAGTGTGTGTGTGTGTGGTGGGAGGGTGAGTGTGTGTGTGAGTGTGTGTGTGGTGGGTGGGAGGGTGAGTGTGTGTGTGTGTGGTGGGAGGGTGAGTGTGTGTGTGTGGTGGGAGGGTGAGTGTGTGTGTGTGGTGGGAGGGTGAGTGTGTGTGGTGGGTGGGAGGGTGAGTGTGTGTGTGGTGGGTGGGAGGGTATGTATGTGGTGGGTGGGTGGGAGGGTGAGTGTGTGTATGTGGTGGGAGGGTGGGAGGGTGAGTGTGTGTATGTGGTGGGAGGGTGGGAGGGTGAGTGTGTGTATGTGGTGGGTGGGTGGGAGGGTGAGTGTGTGTATGTGGTGGGTGGGTGGGAGGGTGAGTGTGTGTATGTGGTGGGTGGGTGGGAGGGTGAGTGTGTGTATGTGGTGGGTGGGTGGGAGGGTGAGTGTGTGTATGTGGTGGGTGGGTGGGAGGGTGAGTGTGTGTATGTGGTGGGTGGGTGGGAGGGTGAGTGTGTGTATGTGGTGGGTGGGTGGGAGGGTGAGTGTGTGTATGTGGTGGGAGGGTGGGAGGGTGAGTGTGTGTGTGTGTGTGGTGGGTGGGAGGGTGAGTGAGTGTGTATGTGGTGGGTGGGAGGGTGAGTGTGTGTATGTGGTGGGAGGGTGAGTGTGTGTATGTGGTGGGAGGGTGGGAGGGTGAGTGTGTGTATGTGGTGGGTGGGAGGGTGAGTGTGTGTATGTGGTGGGAGGGTGAGTGTGTGTATGTGGTGGGTGGGTGGGAGGGTGAGTGTGTGTATGTGGTGGGTGGGTGGGAGGGTGAGTGTGTGTATGTGGTGGGTGGGTGGGAGGGTGAGTGTGTGTATGTGGTGGGAGGGTGGGAGGGTGAGTGTGTGTGTGTGTGTGGTGGGTGGGAGGGTGAGTGAGTGTGTATGTGGTGGGTGGGAGGGTGAGTGTGTGTATGTGGTGGGAGGGTGAGTGTGTGTATGTGGTGGGAGGGTGGGAGGGTGAGTGTATGTATGTGGTGGGAGGGTGGGAGGGTGAGTGTGTGTATGTGGTGGGAGGGTGGGAGGGTGAGTGTGTGTATGTGGTGGGAGGGTGAGTGTGTGTATGTGGTGGGTGGGAGGGTGAGTGTGTGTATGTGGTGGGTGGGAGGGTGAGTGTGTGTGTATGTGGTGGGTGGGTGGAGGGTGAGTGTGTGTGTATGTGGTGGGTGGGTGGGAGGGTGAGTGAGTGTGTATGTGGTGTGTGGGTGAGTGTGTGATGGGTGGGAGGGTGAGTGTGTGTGTGTGTATGTGATGGGTGGGTGGGAGGGTGAGTGTGTGTGTGTATGTAGTGGGTGGGAGGGTGAGTGAGTATGTATGTGGTGGGTGGGTGAGTATGTGGTGGGTGGGTGAGTGTGTGGTGGGTGGGAGGGTGAGTGAGTGTGTATGTGGTGGGTGGGTGAGTATGTGGTGGGTGGGTGGGTGAGTATGTGGTGGGTGGGTGAGTGTGTGTGTATGTGGTGGGTGGGTGAGTGTGTGGTGGGTGGGTGGGTGGGTGAGTGTGTGGTGGGTGGGTGGGTGGGAGGGTGAGTGAGTGAGTGTGTATGTGGTGGGTGGGTGAGTGTGTGGTGGGTGGGTGAGTGTGTGGTGGGTGGGTGGGAGGGTGAGTGAGTGAGTGTGTATGTGGTGGGTGGGAGGGTGGGTGGGTGAGTGTGTGGTGGGTGGGTGGGTGGGAGGGTGGTGTGGTGGGTGGGTGAGTGTGTGGTGGGTGGGTGGGAGGTGAGTGAGTGAGTGTGTATGTGGTGGGTGGGAGGGTGGGTGGGTGAGTGTGTGGTGGGTGGGTGGGTGAGTGTGTGGTGGGTGGGTGGGTGGGAGGGTGAGTGAGTGAGTGTGTATGTGGTGGGTGGGTGAGTGTGTGGTGGGTGGGTGAGTGTGTGGTGGGTGGGTGGGAGGGTGAGTGAGTGAGTGTGTATGTGGTGGGTGGGAGGGTGAGTGTGTATGTGGTGGGTGAGTATGTGGTGGGTGGGAGGGTGGGTGGGTGAGTGTGTGTGTGGTGGGTGGGTGGGAGGCAGCGTGTTTAGCGTGAGCCGCGGGGTGGAGTCGTCACACGCACGGAGGCTGGCCGAGGAGTCGGTGGAGGAGGTTTTGAAATCGCCGTCGAGCAGCCCGCACACAAACACCACCACCACCAACACCACAACAACAACGACGGTGAGATCCCGGGTGCTGTTGCCCAACTCGCTCAGTGGACGAACATCAACCATAACAACAACAACAGCAGCAGCAGCAGCAGCAACCACAACAACATCAAAATCCGTCCATCGTTCAGCAACCCATCCAAGACGCCGTTGCACGTGCGCGTGTCCACTTCGAGCGCGTTCGTAAATCCACACACTGGATGAAGAGCCTCCTCCACACGCCGGGCTGTTTGACTTTGTCGTGCTACTGACACCTCCCTGGTGGACTCATCATCTTCACCCAGGCGTCTTCGCCGAGGAGCGATGGAGTGGGACTGAACTCTGCGCTCACCTGTGACCTACGACTCCCAAGAGCTGTGGGTTTGAACGGTGGTGATGGTGGTGGTGACTGGTGGGATGGGGTTGATGCAATGTGGCAACGTCCCTCGACACGCGTACCCCTAATCGACGTGATCGCTGGACAGCTGGACACGAGGAGGATGGAGAACGATGTGGTGATTGCGTCGGTGGTGGTGATTTTGGTGGTGCTGGAGATGGAGTTGCAGCTGAAGTAAAAGGTAAGATGGTAAAAGTTTGAGACAGTTTGTTGTGCAGTCAACTTATCTCGCACACACGAACACACACACACAGACAGATACACAGACAGATACACAGACAGATATCTCCCGTATCGCACCAACAGACTTGCGGCAAGTGCTGTTGGCAACTGTGGCACACGAGGGAGGTGGCCAGCACCACACCCTGCCGCATTTGTCTCCCCACTGCTGCTGATGTGTTACACGCCGCACCAACGTACTCATTTAAGGCTGAGTCGACCTATGGGTGGCCCAGAACCGGTTCAGATATTCGCAACTGGGGTTGCTGGCCGTGAGTGGGGTTCGTAGCGCAGCGCGCTAATTACCACACTACCGCATACAGACACATAACATACACACACAACATACACACACACAGACACACAACATGCACACATCATACACACACAACATACACACATGCATCATACACACACACAGACACACAACATACACACACCATACACACACACAGACACATAACACACACACATACATCATACTTACACACAACATACACACACATACATCATACACACACACACGCAACACACACAACATACACACAACATACACACACACCACATACACGCACACACAACATACATCATACACGTATAAAGACAAAGATCCCTCGTATAGCCTGGAACAGACTGTAGGGGCAAGTGCTGTTAGTGAGCACCTAATGAAGGCCGGCACGGCACACGAGGGGGTGGGTGGCCAACACCACGCCCGGCCGCCTTTGTCTCCCCAGTGGGGACGTTTACACACCGAACCGGGTACTCATTTGAGGCTGAGTCGACTTAGGGGAGGGCCCATGACCGGTTCAGATAAAATCGTCACTAACGGTGTTGGCCGTGAACGGGAAATCGAACTCGGGTCGCCGGGTTCGTAGCGCAGCGCGCTAACCGCTACACCACCGCTCCCCACACACACACACAGGTACAGACAGGCACTCACAACATACACACACGTACACACACAACACACACACGTGCACACACAGGTACAGACAGGCACTCACAACACACACGCACTCACAACACACACACACACACGTGCACTCACAACACACACACACGTGCACATACAACACACACAACACACACACGTACAGACAGGCACTCACAACACACACAAAACACACACACGTACACACACAACACACACACGTGCACACACAACACACACACAGGTACAGACAGGCACTCACAACACACACACGTGCACACACAACACACACACACGTACAGACAGGCACTCACAACACACAAACACGTGCACACACAACACAACACACACAGGTACAAACAGGTACTCACAACACACACACACACGTGCACACACAAGCACTGCACCTGCGTCGCTAATGTGCATGTTGCCTGTTCAATCGCACCTAGTGTCACCTAACACACGGTGTCACGGGCATAAGAAGTGGATATTTGTATTTGGGATCGTGCTCTGTGATTGCGGCTCAAGCGCTTAGCAATGTTCGTGGTGCTTCCGATTCGCCTCGTTCTCTCCGTTCTTCGACAAGCGAGGGTCTTAAAGAGTTGCTTTGTAGAGAGAACACTGTCATCATCCATTCATCATCATCATCATCCATTCATCATCATCCATTCATCGCAGCAATCAGCATCTCTTCATTGCTATTCTTGAGTTTTTTCGGTAAAGTCACGTAGGTAAAAAATTAAAACTAAAATTAATAAAAGTAAAATAAAAATCACGACGTTTCGGAGGCAACACAAGCTTCCGTCTTCAGGTGGAACCGTCACAGCACGATTGCTGTATCAAGTAACACGAATATGAATCCTTGCAGTCACGAAAGCTTCAAATCTAGCATCTCTTGATTGACCGACACGTCATATCACCGTGTACTTCATGGTGAGTCATTTACGCCTCTTAATTATAATGCATGGATGTATATCATCATCACCATCCAGTCATTGATGTATTTATACATCATAACCATCATCTACTACTGTATTCAGCGATTTATTCGTGCGTCGTCACTGTCATTGTAAGTAAATTAATGTGCGATGAAAGAGGGCCGTTGCCCGAACCGTCGCCCGTTATAATGTTCCCTTGAAGGCATTGTTATTCACGAATGTGTTGAGCTTGGTTTATTCATTCATTCATGCAGCAGCAACATCACCATCATCGCCGCGATTGTCATCGTCTGTTCAGCTATTCAGAATTACCATCGTGTAATGATTTAAAATATGAGCACCTTGATGATAATCATCTCTCGTTGTTGGGTGAAGTCGTTCCGTTACTTTGTCGTGGCTTAGCACGTGGCTGCCTGTAACGCAGCGTTGTGGGAACAGCTGTGAGGGTTGCTGGATCACAACACAGATGGTGTGAAACGCCCGTAACCACAGGCTCTGCCTTGAGAAGGCGGTACAGCAAAAGTGTGGACTCCGTCTGTACGGGATAGAGTGTTTCCCCCTCGCACGCGTGGATTTTCTCCGGGGTGCGTCAGCTTCCTCCCACGTGTAAACACTCATTCATTGGCCGACAACTCCTTGCATATATATCCCGACTTGACGTCTGTGAAAAGGAGCGTTATAGCTAATCGAATTCCTCCAGCTTAAATAAATATTCTGACGACGTATAGATAACCGCAAAGCTTTGGATAGAATTTGGCACCGGCTAACCGCGTGGATGGCTGCTGCTGGTTGCTGCTTCCTTTCCACGCTCGACTCCTGTTTAGGGGTGAACGAGTTGGGGGAAATATCTAATTGCGATTTTTCTGACAGATATTGCGATTGCGATTTGCGATTACATTTATTAAAGTCAAACTTCAGTTCAATATTCACTGTGTAATAGATTTAAAACATGTGATGATGGAGCGTTACCACATGATACCATCAAACTATGAACTGCTCTATATATTCTAATGCAAGGGTGAGAACTTAAAACATATGAATTGCTTCCAACATGTATTTATTAAAACGTTTTAATTGAAATAGAACAATCAAATGAAGTTACATTTAAAAAAAGTTATACTGTAATACCAAATATAACGATTCCAATAAGTAATTTGACTTTTCAAATCGCAAAAAAATCGCAGCCTTTGCGATTTGCTAATCGCATTGTTTGAAATTGCGATTTCCATTTGAATTCGATGAATCGTTCATCCCGAATCCTGTTCCTCCTCGCGCCACCAAAGTCGTTCCCCGTCTTTCGGAGAGTCGAATGCCGCACGGTGAAGGTGCGTTACAATTTGAAATAATTGAAGTAATCTGCGTCGTCGTCGTCGTCATCATCATCAGCTCAACATTCGTGTCGCTGACACGTGCGCGCGCGTGCATACGCGCCCTCCGAGTTACCCAACGAACATCTCGATGATCAAAACGATCATCGATTGCGAGCCACCGTCTCCTATCAACCTGGTGTCGCGTCTCGCGTCAAACACAAACAGTCCAAGAGCGTGGGTGGGGGGATGGGTCATAACAACAAAAACTCAAGTGGGTGGGCGGACGGGACTACGAACGCTAAAGTCGGTGTTCAAGACACTTTAAACAAACCTTGACCGTTACACGCTCAACAGCGAGTGACGATACGATCTTGCCGCTTGCTGTTATGCGGTTGTGCAATCCGCTCTGTATCTCTCACGCCCTGCGTCAACGAGGCAAGGCTGGGGGGTGAGCCGGTCGCTTCGTTCTTCTGATATTTGTAGCGATATATTTTTAAACTTTACACGAATAATTTAAAAGGGGGGGTGCGGAGCCTTTAGCTGGGGGGGGGGGGCTCAGCCCCCTTGCAGCCACCACCTCCCATCAGACACGATGGGGCTGTACACAATCATCACGCACATGGCTGTCGAGCGACAACGCAGAAATCAATTGTGAGTCACAATATTGGACGCGTGCGAGTTGAGTGGACGCGGCTGTTTGCAATCAAGTTGATTTTTGTTTAAGCACGAGAGTGAGCACTCGAAAGACCACGATGAGCCTCGTTTGGACGATTTAAACCATTTGGACAATTTGGACGTTGTGGAAGTTTGGACAGTTTTGACGTTTGAACGATGAACTCGTTTGGACGGGTGTGACCCCGGGGTCACCAAACCGCATTCATTTCTATGCGAATAGAAATGAGAGCAAAACAACAACAACAACCGCATAAGAATAGGGTTTCCCCCTTTTTTCTGGCAACAAAACAGGCTTTAAGATGTAAAAATACCAAACTGAAACCTTTTTGCAAGGAATAATGTCTGCATTAACCACAGATACTTGTGGTGAGAATACAAACAACAAAAAAACATGCTCTCACAGTATATGCATTGTCTTTGAAACTGATTGATCCACACCAGAGACAGCTTTCTTTAGAGCCTCGTCTCAAATGGTGTTAGACCAGAGGACGCCAAAAGGCGAACAACCTTTTGGCATCTTAACGCCTGTTTTGTTGCCAGAAATAAGGGGAAAACCTATTGTTATAATTGGATACTGGCAAAGGAGGTCCCATGAAATAAAAACAACCGCGTTACAGGTTCTCAATATTAAACACAATCAAATGTCTTCTTGGTTCTTTCAGTAAAGTCACGTAGAATGGAAATAATAAAACGTAGAATGGAAATAATAAAATAATAAAAAATACAACATTTTAAAATAATAAAAATAAAACATTTTATTTTTATTATTTCCATTCTACGTGACTTTACCGAAAGAACCAAGAAGATGAATCCCTGCAGTCACGAAAGCTTTAAATCGAAATACAATCAAATGTCCCGTGTTTTAAGAGTTTGGTCCGTGCAAATCACATTTGCACCGTTCATCAGTAGAGGACAACATCGCCACACACGCACACTACAGGCCAACATCACCAACACGAGGAGCAATCCCATCCAGTTGGGTATATTTCTACCAACACGGGCACCAGCATCAGAATGATCCCACGAGCTTAGCCACACACACACAATCCGCTTCACCGTGTGCAATTAAGTAATTAAGTTGCGCCTGCTGGCTGTGGTCGTGCGCGTG